TGCTCTGTTGATTGGGATAAAAAATATAAAGAAATGTATTGAGTTCAGAATACTGACAGTTTTCCTTTGTTAAAAGGAAACCGTGTTTCCCCGAAAGTAAGATGGGGTCTTATTTTCTTTTGACCCCTGAAATAAGCACTTGGCCTTATTTTTGAGGAGGTCTTATTATTTTTGAGGTGCAGGAGGTGGCGAGCATGGTCATCTCATGGCTGCTGCTGTGTGGCAAAATTTTCAGGGGAGAGCTTATTTTAGCGCATGCACTCAAAAGCCCGATTGGGCTTATTATCTGGGGAGGTCTTATTTTCGGGGAAACACGGTTTCCTTTTAACAAAGGAAAACTGTCAGTATTCTGAACTCAATACATTTCTTTATATTTTTTATCCCAATCAACAGAGCAATTTAATAATAGAATTTTGCAGGCAGAATTATCAGATGCTGAGAAAATGTCCCTCCATGAGGAAGTCAAGAAAATCTATGAAACATACTGCTTAGATGAAAGCATTGACAAAATTAAATTTGATCCTTTCATTGTGGAAGAGATACAAAGTAGTAAGTGAAATTTTTTAAAAAAACGTATTTGAAGTTGTTGCATTTTTTTTTCTTAACGGTACTCGATGTAGAATAATACAGATGTTGGTATGAACATGTCTTAGCAATATTGTGAATAACACTTTCCTATGAAATGAGAAACAAACAGATGTAGTGCCTTAGTAAAAATCAAAGTTAACTCTGATGACTTCATAGAAATGTACACTTAACTTTTTGACAGCAATACAGAAGTCATTTGCAATGGTTTCTTTTGAGATGTCCTTTCAGTTTCCTAGTCTAAACTATAGATTTGGGATTCTTTAAAGGTCTCCCACTCAAGTATTTATTTATTTATTTATTTATTTATTTATTTATTTATTTATTTATTTATTTATTTATTTATTTATTTATTTATTTATTAGGTTGCCCAACTTACAAATGCTTTCTCTAGATAGCTTATTTAGTTGTAAAAATAAATAAAAGAACAAAGAGCATAGCACACCAGACGTATAGGCTCATCCAAGTTCATTTTGCTTAATTTCTAAAGTCAAATAAAATCAGACAAATGCTGCTGAGACAGAAATCCTGAAATATTAAACTTTTCTGTAAGTAAGTATTTTCATATTTATTATTGACACTTCTCACATTTTCATCTGTAGTTGCTGAAGGCCCCTATGAGGAAGTTGTGAAGCTACAACAAATGCGGTGTTTCTTTGAAGCCTACGAACAAGTTTTCTCGCTCTTAGAAAACGTCTTCATACCTAGATTCTGCCACACATATGAGGTAACAAGTATTTGTTTATATTTGAACCACTTCAGTTTGCAATTTTTAAATGTTTTTCACCTTTACTTTTTGAGGTTTTTGAGCTCAAGGAGTCTACTGTACTTGCTTTTTGTCTTTCAACTGATATTTCTAGAATGAAATAACCCCTCTATATTAGCTCTACTGTCTTAATGTATTCTGGAATTATGTAATGAAGTAACCCCTCTGCTTTAGTTCTAAGGTCTGCTTAAATTAGTGCAGTTCATTATTGTGGAGTTTCCTTAAAAATAATTGAGAGATAAAAATGCAGAATACTGACAGGAATTGAGCATTTGGATCATGTTGTACGACAATTGCAAGTTATAGTAATTCTTGGTCCATTCAAAGCACTGGTTTCCTCTTTTAATGTCTGTATAGATGTAAGAGGTGTCTCTTCTCTAACACATAGGCTTGTGAAAGATTTTTCCAGTACAATTTCTTAATTTTAGAGAGGTTCATCAGGATGGACCCTACTGTCTTCTTGGTATCAGGCAAATATTTGTTTCATCTCTTCTTTTTTTTTACTATCACAAATACTATACGTACTATACATTTTAAAAAAATTATAGTACTATATCAGAAAATACATTCAAACATTTTAGTTATTGCTACCGGTACCTATTGTTTAGGCCCTTAATAGATTTCAGTATTGTCCTGCTTTCCATGCTGTTACGTATATGAACAATAGTGATTTTTATTTCTAATCTGTATCTTTGTAAAATTGTTTCTAAAGGAAATATAGCAAATAGAACAAAATAAAATAAGAGTGATCAGCAATGTTCAACTATTTTTTTCCTTATTTAGTATTTCCACCACCTCTTTCAAGAAGTTGAATCCCCAACACGCAATTCCAAGTCAAACAAGTAAGTACAGGGTAAAGATCAGTCCTCAATTTATGGCCACAATTGGGACTGGAAAGCTTATGTAAGTCCATGTGACTGGACCCATTTTTTTTGACATTTTTTGCAGTGGAAATTAAGCAAACCAACACAGTCGTTAAGCAATCCCATTCTTCTGAATGGACTTTTTTTGCCGGAAACTGGCAAAATATGTCACAAATAATGGTCGCATGATTACGGGATGCTTCAACTGTCAAAAAGGTGAGCCAGTTGCCAAGACCCAGAATGTCCTGTGACTGCAGGGGTTGGCAACTTTTTACAACAGCCGGAAGTGCTTTATTGTGCCATAAAGTACCCATTCTGAGGCTGTCATAACTCCAAATGTTCATAAATAAATGGTCATAAGGCGAGGACTACTTGCATAATATACCTGCCTGGGTTGAAAGTTTTAAAGACGGTATCTGTTGGATATGTTCATTATGATTCTCATTCATTTTTGAAAATTGAATATCGCGTAAAATTAAAATAATAAAATTAATAAATAAAAA